CGTCGTAAGTGACGCCCCGATCGGCGCCAGTCATCACAAAATCAATGATTTTGTTCACATCTGTCGACAAATTGCGGATCTCTTCGCGCAACTGATGGTTAAATTCTGGCAATAAATTACAGATACTGTCATCAAATGCTTTTGGATTACATTTAATGGAACCGATAATTATCCCAAATACTAATAATCTTAATGTAATCAACATTTTCAACATGATTTAATTACTATTATTGTACTGTTATTTATATTCAAATTAAATAAGTAATTATTATAGAAAAACTATAAAATATATAATTATATTAGATTTTAAAAATTATTTTAGGTAAAAACATTGTAGAAACAGACAATATGAGATGCAATTTACCGTATGTTTATTAAAAGTATTAAAAACATTTACACGTGTATATCATTAAATATCATTAAATTATATTAATTAATAATTTATCAATTACGCTATTCAGTATATTGAGAATTTATTCTAAAATACTAATCAAGTATGGTTAAATTAATAGTTTTATAATTACAGTAATATAGTAATAATATCATGATAGTTTCACATATCAATTGCTACAAACATTTACCTAGGTAAAATATTTAATTAATTATAGTACATAACATAGAGTTTAGGAAATATAAGTGACGTTAATATCATATTTTATTAATTATTTGTAATTTAATAGCCAATATCATTTAAGTTAGTGATTATAATAATATTTTTAATTACACATTATAGTTAATTACAACTACTGTATAAAACCAATGTGATCATGAAATATTAATAATTAAATATCAATATAATGTAATTTAATAATTCAAACTAAAAACTAATGAAATTCAATATAGTTAATAAAATGTGAGTAAAACGTATCTAAACATCATTTCCTGTTGAGTATAAAACAATTTTTTAATAAAATTAATTTATTAAAGCCCATGTACTGTATGTAGTATTCACTTAATTTGTAAATTAAATTATAATAATTATAAACTTTAAATAAATAATTAAATGTTGTTTTTATGTGCGTTTTATTAACGACACGTTGTCATTAATTAACATATTTCCAATACGTTATTTAAATATTATATAGCAATGCAATTAAAAATCATATATAATAAAATTCACTGTGTCAAGATACAAAATTACCATAATTAGTGCACATTTTTAATACCATCATTAACTTTCAAGGCAATTAAAAATCAATCATCTTTAATTAATAGTAAATTCATTTATTCATTATATATTGATCATTGTTTATTTATTTGTTAATTTTATTTGATTAAACTTAGGTTCTCTACGATTCTGTCCCTTATATGTGACATAAACACAGAATATTCTGCTTTTGTATTAAAAATATATGGTTTTAATAATATTTTTAATCAATAATCAGTAATTTGAATAAAATTACTGTTAAAATTGGTAATTATATTTTTATTGTAATTGTATCTGGGTTAAAAACGTAATATAAATATTTCGTAGTTTATTGGTTATTAGATATACAGTATTATATAATCAACTAGACTATACTCTTAATATTACAATAATTTGTAGTTACATAAATATCCTATGTCAACTAAAACATACTATGATAGAGCACAATTACAATAATCAATTATTATCAAAGTTATAACAAATTGTTAACATCTATTATAAGAACATTTCATTCAGCCATCATTGTAAGGTAATTTCATTATGATAGGTAAACTTGTTAAATTAACAATATATTATTTAGTACCATGTTATTTATTCCAAATATTATTTAATATACCTAAAATATTTTGCACAATTAAATGTTCTTGTAATAGATGTTAACAATTTGTTATAACTTTGATAATAATTGATCATTGTAGTTGTGCAGAATATTAAATACATTTAGTAAATATAAATAACATGGTACTAAATAATATATGGTTAACTTTACTTTATTTAACATAATGAAATTATCTTATAAAGATGGTTGAATGTATAGACTATAGCAGAATTATAAGCTTGGTCAATTGAAAATTATGTTTCTGCTAAAATCGATTCACAATATTTGAAAAGTTTTTTAATACAAAATAAACTGTAAAATGCATTTCAAACCATTTATTGGCTTTCACTTTGATACCATATAAGTACAGTTTACTTTAGTTATGGCATACAAAAACGAATAATACTACACACAATGTGTTGTAATATCCTATAAATGGTATAATAAACCATTGATAGACTGTATAACAAATGGTGTCACAGTGTATGTGAACGACTCATACAAATGGAATGCCATTTCAATTGGAGACAAATAACGAGTTTTGAGATTTGATTCGTTATTAACCACTAAATTGTGAGTCAATTGTCAGTGAATTGCAATTCAATTGAAAGCGTTTAACCATTCATTCATTGTGTCTAACATTCGAGTATTATTCGCCCCAAAAGTGTGCCAACACTAACGCCACCCCTTCTGCCCCTCCCTTCCCCTCCCCTGCCATACGAGAGATCGTCTGTCAGTGACTGTCAGTGTATTAGCGGTTATAACGAGTTGTTGTGTATTGTTTTGGCGCCCAATAGTGTACTCCTATTTGTGATGCAATCATCAATTGATTTTGTGTTGAATTAACCGTTGATTTACTTTTCCGTCTCATTAGGTGTTGATATCGACGACAGTCTTGTGGTGTAATCGAGAGGTGAGAGAGAGAGGAGTCGACCATTGGTTTGACTGACCATCGATTTGCTTAACTCATCCGATGATCGATAGGCCGTCGGGAGAGCGCATCCATGTCTGGCCTGTATTTCTGTGTCTTCTGCGACACAATGGTGTTGTCGTCGGCAGAGATGGCCGAACACGTGGGCCAACACTTGGGCCGAAAGGGCGGTCATTACGACGACTACGACAGCGACGACCCGTCGGCCGTTCGCGAGTTGACTGACGTCGAGAAGCGAGTGGTCGACCGTTTGATGGCATACGAGGAGCAGCTGAACGTCACGCTGCAGCTGATCCCACAGGAGTTGCCCGAAGACAGCGTACAGACACTGTTGATGGGGTGTCCCGTTTGCGACTCATTGATCCGCTGCCATGAGCTCGATTTCAGCAACAAGTCGTACGTCGGCCGCGACTCCACTCAAGGCATTCCGGAGCCCACCGTCGCCGCCGCCGTTGACGGCTCGCCGCTCTCACCCATTGGTGGCCACAATTCGTACTCACATTTGCCGTCCGGTGACCGCAACTCAGGTATTGAATCGCTTTCTTATAATGGGTTTACTATAACGGGTGGACATTATGTATTGTAATGTGTTTTGATTGGCAATCGATATATTGTT